CCACCTCCCAACCTCCTGAAAGCTCAGCCAGCCACTGCCTACTGCCCGGCTCACACCCCGGCTTAACCCGCTGCTCCCCTGTTCTACTGGCCGCCTCAAGTGGCTAATAAGTTAGGGACGGCCCTGCATTCAGCATTCACGGCATGCTTAATTAACCCAATAGTGCTGAGTAGCCCTTTACCCTGGCATGTTACATTTCTATAACTTATTACTATACATTGTATCTATTGTACATGAGCTTTCATTGCAGTGTATGGTGTACTTTTATCATTTCAAGGCCTGCTATAAACTTCGCCCACGTTTACTTTTTTTTTCCCCCGCAGCTCCGCATGGAATACTTGTCATTGATGCATTCTATCATCCGCTCAACTGCCTACGTCCAGCATCTCCATCGCCGCCAGGACCTGCACAGCATATTCCAGCGAATCCTTGACGAGGAGGACGAAGGGCCCCACTGTCAAATGGACAAAATGATCATCCGGCAGATCTACAAAGAGTTCCCTCAGCTGTCGCCCGAGAGCGGCTGAACGGGCACCGCCGCGTCAGAGTTTACAAATGTTTACACGATCCGTATATAATCTTTCTGTGGGAGCCCCGACCGGTCTGCGCGGCTTGTTTACAGAGCAGTATTAGCCCCCCCCTTCCCCTGCGGAAAAGGCGAAAGGTTTTATCCAGATTATCGCTGCGGGCACAACTGAACGACTGGCCTGTTTAATTTTGCATTTACGATTCATTTATCTAACGCGTTTCAGGACTAACCCAAGCCGCTTCCCACTGTGCTGTATTGGGGGGGTCAGACTGGGATTTACAGGTTCATGTGGCAGTCTTGTACCAAAAGGTTTTAAAGAGGGATGTGTTGTGTAGGAGGAAATCCTGTACCATGGCTGACAGCAAGCTAGAATCCTGACTGCCAAGACATAAAATAGGATAAAAAACGTTTTTTCCTAATTGTCCATGGAGGGACACAGCTTGATGTTAATAAGCAACCTAGAGTTATACTGCCGCCTACAGGAGAAATGGACACTAGACAGATAGAAAACTGAATGCCGTGCCCCCTTGAAGCTGTAACCCCTCCCACCTGCTCAGTTTGGCTTAGTGTCTCTTTCCCGTCTGATTTGTTAGTGTGAGGAAGTATTAAAACCCCTGTTGGGTTTTTATTACTGTCTGTGGGGAGATTCGCCTTCTTTATTTGTCCTGGGACAGCTTCACCCCACGTGCTATTTGTACCAGTGACAACTAAGAGGACGCTTTTCACTTTGGAAAAATTTGCTCTTTTTTTCATCTTGTTTCCCTGGGACAGGAAGTGACTGGAAATCTCCCTGAAAAGACAAACTAAGAGGGGGTGACAACTAAGAGGATGTTTCCCCTCACTATGGAGAAATTTCCTCTTTCTTCCTCTTGTTTGTGCTTGGCCAGGAAGTGACCGGAAATCTCCCTGAACAGACACAAACTAAGAGGACGTTTTCCTGTTACTTCCTCTTGTTTCACTGGGGAAAGAAGTGAACCGAAATCTCCCTGAAGAGACGCAGACAAACTAAGGATGGTGACACGTAAGAGGACGTTGCCCCTCACTTTGGAGAAATTTCCTCTTTCTTCCTCTTGTTTCTGTGGGACAGGAAGTGACCGGAAATCTCCCTGAAAAGACAAACTAAGAGGACGGTGACAACTAAGGGGACATTTCCCCTCACTGTAGAGAAATTTCCACTTCCTTCCTCGTTTGTCTGGGACAGAAAATAAACCGAAATCTCCCTGAAGGCACACAGACAAATGTTGGCTTTGCATGCACTCAAACCTCCACCATCCTCTATAAATATACAAAGTGTAATATACAAGCTTCTAGAGTCTCGGACTAGCGCCTTGATGTCAGAGACGACAGTCCGCACCCTTACTAAACAGCTGCTGAGATAAAATCACTAACTGGATACTCCACGTGCCCTGTGAATCATGACTGCCCCTAAATATTTATATTATTAAGAAACAAAAAAAACCTATAAATAGGTGGGGGGTTTTTTTGTAAAACAAATCCCTATAGATGAGCGTTATATACTTTATACATAAAAAAAGAACTACAGATCCTTTTAACGACCTTTAAATGAACGTTCTGAACGCTGTCTGATCTGCATGCGGCATAGATGCTTAGGAGCGCCGAACAAACTTGTGACATACATTGACTTTATACTTGATATTGCTAAACTGAAATCTATATCTCTATATATAAATCCGTATATTTTACTTACAGATACTTTATTGGAAGGCATGCTTGAGTGTGAATGATATTTTGTATCCAGGCGGCTGATGGGCTGACGGCTCCGGCGCTCCGTAGGTAATCTTGACGATGATTTGATTTTCTTGCTCCTGTGTGCTCAGTGCATTGAACCACATTTACAAGATGTCATCAATAACTCCATGATTCCAGTATGTCTGTGAAGGTTCATTCATCCAGGACATGGGGTATATCTGTAACAAAATCGGTCAAGGCAACTGGACCTGCTGTATTTTTCTTGAAGACATTTCACTGGTTGTCCAACCAGCTTTCTCAATTTAGAATGACTTGTACAAACATTCTCTGGGAATAAATATGGTGACTGTTACTTCAAAGTCATTCTGAATTGAGAAAGCTGGTTGGATGATTTATTTTTTACAGATTTATCAATGATTGCAGGCGTTCATTATCATACATATCGTATCTGAACCCGACATCTGATTTTTTTTAAATGGAGCTCTGACATCTCTCTGCAGCTTCGCCCCGCGTGCTGTGGAAATTCCGGTACCGATAGGGCCTTGTACACACACACACGGGCTTCGGTTGTAGGAGAGCAGTTTGTACAGTAAGATCTGCAAAGCATTTGTTGAGGTTTTGATACCCATCGAGCAACATTGTGGAAACTTTAAAGGAGAACTATGAGGTTAAGGGGTCTATTCACAAAGCTGCCGAGGGCAGCCGAGTGAATGACCGATCAGAAGTGAAGTGAGCCGAACACCGTTCGGCTATTCACTTCAGGCTGGTACGGCTGATTTCAGCCGTATATCGGCT